CCTGCTGAAGATGATGCAGTTTTTAAGATAGATCTTGTACTTGTCAAAACATTCATTGTAATAACAACCAAAGAAACAGACCTGCAGGGGTGTTTATATTAGCTGATGCAGAGTTTAATTAAAAACTAAGGAGAAAAAAACAACCACCAAACCCTTTTGGAAGTACCTTTTGCTGTTTTACTTTGTGTTGGGTGTTTGTCACACAGGTGTCCTCCCTTGTTACTGTATGTATAGTTCTTAAAGGTCAAATTAAGGAACTTTAACCATGGCTGTTTTTCACTAGATATGCAGCTTCTATTGATGACATCCTGGAAGAAGAGGAACATTATGCAGATCAGCTGAAAGAATATCTGTTCTATGCAGAAGCACTACGGTATGTACAGAAGTGTATAGCTCAAATGGAAGCTGTATTCCTTTCCTCTAACATTGTGTTGATGTTGAATTTAGTTTGGTATCCTCCTCAGTTCTCCGAGAAGTGGAAATTTCAAAGTTGTCGAATCTCCATGTTCTTACCTCTTATTTTGCTTAGTCATATTTTATTGCCATGTGGGTGGGGATAAAAATTAGAACTGAGCTGATGAATTGTGAAATGACAGAAGTGTTAAACTCTGTACTGTGGAAGGTAATGCTGTTTATTCTGCTGGTTACACTGTTTCCTTAGTGTCTGGGATAATAGTGTCCCAATGTGCTGAATGCTTCAGCTTTCATATGAGATAGACCAAACAGAGCTGCTACAGCCTTTACAAATTCCAGCAAGTTTCACAATGCCCTTATATAACTTTATTCTGCTCAGTAGTGTTGTGCAGCTAAATACTGATTTTATTTTAGTTTTTTTACATTAGCCTTTATGTAGGGCAGTCCTCCCTTACAAGCATGGATGTGGAAGCAAATTGCTTTATGGTGTAAGAGTGTACCTGAAACTGTTGTTGTGCTCTCCATGGGCTGGCTCCGGACCTCTTGGATAGGTCTGGTAGTGCTGTAGAGAATCGGGTTGGCAAGTGTGATGGCTGCTGTGTGGGAATCCAGAGCACAAAGAGCCCCTCCTGGGAGACAAATGTGCATCCGGCCTTGGAGTACGGATGTAGCATCACCAGCCCACACAGGACTGGGACTTACTGCAGGTGGTCAGAGGAAATGCTCCTCTTTTCCAGATGAAAGGTGCTATATGCATCTAGGAGTGCAGTTTCTTGTTTCATTGTTTAAAAAATGTGAAGAGTTTAATGATTGACTGATGCATTGCTGCCGTGACAGGCACCATCTCCAGGTACCTTTTGTCATAGTTGTGATTTTTCGGTAATATATTTTAAATATATTTTTATAGTGGTGTCCTTAAGTAGGTGATAGGGCTTGTATTGCTGAGGGTGTCTTGGAATGAGCCTAAAAAGAGGAGCAGAATGCTGCTGTACTAAGAACTTTCTTTATACTTTGATCCAAGCTTGCTTAACTTACAGCATTTGCCGAGTTAAGCGTTCTGTGATAAGGCCGTTGAATTCAAGCTAGATAAATAACTGAATGTGCTCCCTGCCAAAAAAAAGCATGATGCCATTTGTAAAGTTTAAATGGAGGGAAACGTAGCAAAACAAAGTATTACGTGACAAATCTTTCATTACTTACTTTTCAGGGCAGTTTGCAGGAAACACGAGCTAATGCAATATGACTTGGAAATGGCTGCACAGGACCTAACATCTAAGAAACAGCAGTGTGAGGAGCTGGCAACAGGAGTGAGTCTTTCCACTTTCTTCTCCAAGATGCCTGTGCTTTTTAAATTTTTTTTTTTTATTTGAGCCAAGTTCCTTAGAATGACATTTAAATGGCACTAACATGCTGGCTGATGCTTACAAGAAGCAGCATCACATGAGCTGTAGGCATCTGAGGTTTAAAGTACTTGGTTCTTGGTGACATAAGCTGTTTGTACCAAACCTATTTTATTGAATACTGAGTAAGTAAAGGGTTGCAGGAAATATGACCTGAGCAGAACAACACAGCTCTATCCTAAAGATCAAAATTCTGAAAGGCTTTCTATGCCTTTTGAAAGGTGCATATTAACTGTTATGTGTCTAGTCCCTTCTATGTGGAAGATAATGTTACTTAAAACATTATCTTAAAGTGGTAACTTCACAAAAGTATTTAGAATTCTTAATACTGCTGTTGGATCTGTTGATGCTCTATACATGACTACTTTATGGCTTTTTTTTCTCATATAGAACACAAGGCTTAGGTTCTTCCCTGCTTCAGTAACAAAATTGCTCTGAAAGGTTACCCATGTCAGTGGAATGATTCACTTATGGTCCAGTCCATAGACCAGCTTTAAGAATTTGAACAGCAAATGACTTTTTGTCTCCACTTCGCTCACATTAGTGAGCCACCATACCTTCTATAGTTACTTATCAATGGGACATTCATGAAATGGAAGTTAAAGCCAAAAATCAACTGAATAGTAAGAATAAGTCCAAATGCTGGTAAAAATCACATAATGACTTGTGACTATGCTGAAGAATCCCAAACGTAGGGTATCTTTGTTTTTTGTAGACTGTGAGAACATTCTCCCTGAAAGGGATGACCAGTAAGCTGTTCGGGCAGGAAACCCCTGAGCAGAGGGAAGCCAAGATAAAGATTCTAGAAGAGCAGATACAGGAAGGAGAAGAACAACTGAAGTCTAAAAATCTGGAGAGCAGGTAAATGGGCTTGACTTTTTCAAAGTAAACTCAGGGCTTGTCTTAGCAAAAGTCCTTGACTGGATGCTCTTGAAGGTGTTTGCATTTTATAAGTGTTTTTAATATATTCTTGGTGTTTATGAGCTGTCTATAAAAGCTCCTGTCAGCTGCAAGTTGTGAAATAAAGTACAGTACACGCAGTTAGCTTCTGGTCTGAGTGTATGGCTTATGTAAAACCTGATGACTTTCCCAGTTACTGAGCTCACTCTAATGGCTGACTTGCATGCTTTTATGTTCAGCTAGTAATATGTTTAGCAGGTGGGCTTGTAGGTCTGTGGCTGAATAGCCTAAGACTCAAAGGCTGATTTGCTTCAAATATACTATTTAGTTTCGTTCATGTGTATGGGTCCTAAGCTCATATTCTGCAGCTTCTCATATGGGGGACAACTGACTCCTGTTTGAAAGAAATTAGAAGTTCTGGTGAGTTGTATTTGACTAACTGCTTCTTGGTGCTCTAACAAAATTTTCTTCGGGAATGCAAACATGTAAAATAGGAATTAACATTCCTAAAGTAATGTGATTTTGTCAGAACATGTTCATTGTATAACACAAGGGGTAAGCGTGGTATCTCCTAATATGTTAGGATTAGAGCTGGAAAGATAAGACTGGTTCATGAATAGTTCAAAACAACAAGACACTCAGTAAATGCAATTTCTTAATCATTTTGACAGAAGTACTGGAGATCTGCTTTTGTAGCTCTGGAAGCAATTTTCAAGTGAATACTTGCCTTGTATGTATAGTCCAGCACAAATGAAAGCTAAGAATTACAGAAATTTATCTCCATTTTAGTTAAGGAGACCTGAAGGCACATCACCAAACCAACAAATTAATTCTTGAAGTGAATTTCCAAGTCAAATTTGCATTGTAAATGTTTGTTGTACTTGAGTGTCTCAAATCCTGATGACAAGTGAGTTTTCACGTTGGAAAGACCAAGATTCTGACCTGACAATTGACAAACGTTGTGTGCTGAATGTTAGCATAAAGATACTTAGTTACTCCAACAGAATCTGAGGGGAACAAAAACAGTATATTCAGAGTTATTCTGGTTCTATGGCAGTGATGCTTACTGGGAAAAAAACAACCAAACAAATGACACAATGCATCCTGCAAAACTGAATCTCCAGTTTAGAAACCTTAAGATGGAGAATTAGGTAGTAGTGCCAATTATAAAACGAGGACGCTGTGGGATGCTTCATCTTTCAGTCAGTAAACCAAGTCTTGTAATGGAGTGCTTTGTCAGACATAGCTTCTCTGCTGAGGGTCCAGAGGAAGGAGGATGAGCTGAGCTTGGAATGTGCAAAATGCTTACTAACAGAAATATTGCTTTTAATTGCAGAGACTTTGTGAAAAGTGCCTGGGCTGACATTGAACGGTTTAAAGAGCAAAAGAATCATGATTTGAAGGAGGCGCTTATAAGCTACGCTGTTATGCAGATTAGCATGTGCAAAAAGGTATGTTTAGCTTGTGAAAGGCCAGGCATGTGTATTCATGATATCCGCAGGGGATCAGATGCAAACTTTCAATAACTAGAAACATTGCAGTCACAGAAGGTTGGAAGTCAGTAGCATAAAACCTCCCACATATTCCGTCCTACTCTGTGACACGCTAATGTTTATTTATTTTTATATATAT